CGCGCCCCAAGTGAGGTTCGAGGGGTGCGCCTGCTCCCACGCCTTGGTGATCGGGCGGCGCGCGCGGCTCCAGACTCGAATGAGCGTCGGCATGAGCCCGATTAGGCGGCCGCCGCCGTCAGGCTTGGGGAGCCTGACCATGACGTTGATCAGGCGCCTGCTCGGCCACTGCAGCAAGTCTTCGCACTTGTGGACGACAGCAATCATCGCATCGACGGCCTCGTCCGAGATGTCCTCCAGCGCCCTGGGCGGGATGCCTGACTGCCCAACTCCTATGCTCCACGGGGAAGTGCGAATCACACGTCCCGCACCGCGTGCCGTTCCAGCGGGGCCAGGCGCCCCCAGTCCCCTGCGCCCGTCGGCAGACGCATCTGCTTGTGGCCGTGGTAGTTCCAGATGTCCTCCCAAGGCCGCAGCTCGCGCTCGACGATGGCATCGCCGTCGCTCCCCTCGGAGGCCTGTACCACCTCCTGGCATGCAGGGACCTTGGAGGTGGCGTGCGCGGCTCCTGCGCCTCCAGTGAACGCCTGGTCGATCCACTCCTTCCAGCGCGCCTGGGCTGCCTGGGAGTCCAGCTTCGCCTGCCTTTTCCCTTCGGCTACGGTCCTCTCGAGGTTCTTGTCCCAGTCGACACCCTGGAACACGTCGCCGCCTCTCTGAAAGGGCGTCCGGGACCATGCCGGCAGGTGGGCCCAGTGGCCATGGTTCTCCACCTTCTGCAGGAGGTCATGCACTGCGGCGATGGCTGCTCCCCCCGCAGCCAAGCGCTTCTCCCGCAGCTTGCTGGGGCGGCACAACTTGGCCGTAGGCTCGCTGCGGAGCGCGCGCAGCGCCCTGGTGGGGCGGCACAACTTGGCCGAGAAGGTGAAGGGCCCACTGCGTCGCCGCCGCCCAAGCCTGCGCCTGGGGGCGTGCGCGCATGCCTCTTGCGCGGGGCCCGCCAAGTGACTTTGCGCCACACGAGCTCGGCGGCACCCTCGGTGCCCCTGCCTGCCGCTCGCCCGTGCCCCTTCCCCACGAGGCCCCTCCTGGCCAAGATCTCAGCCTCAATGCCCATGAGGAGGAGCAGGTCACATATGTCCTGCAAGCCTTCGTCGTCGCAGACTGCTGTGATGACCCTCCTGACCCCTCCCCAGTGCCACGGCGCGCTCACGCAGCCAGAGGGGGCTGCCTCCTTGGGGATCGGCTTCGGCTCGTTGGGGGCTCGCTGCCAGCTGACCGCCCGGAGGTTAGTGAGGGCCAGGTGCACGGGCCAGTGCGGCCACGTGCTGGCGCCGAGGTCCAGCTGGGCCGAATGGCTGGAGAGCCCCGCCATGCTCTTGGTCAACACAAGTAGTCGATCCGAGAGCCTCCGCCTTGCCTGCAAGAGGGCGCACTCGTTGCACGCACCACTGCTCGCAGCTTCGTGACCCAGCCGAAGTCCAGGACTTGCGGCTCCATGTTCCAGTCGCCCATGACTGCCCAGAGGTGTCCCTCCGCCTCAAGCAGCCCGAGGTACTGTGCCAGCTGCCACAAGATGCCCAGGTTGCTGGCCGAAAGGCCCTCGCCGTCATGGAGGTAGACGCTCAGGATCACCATGCCCCCTTTCGGCCCAGCCCGCACGTGCCCTGCCACCAACCTGCCAGGCACAATCTCAGGCGTGCTGCGTCTGTGACCTGGAGATGGAGGTCGGGGCCAGAACAGCAACTCCTCCCACCGTGCCCGAGGCAGAGGTAGGTGAAGGAGTCGCCGCACTCCAGACTCCATGCCGGCCTGCGCCCTTGGTTGCCCTCTGCCGCATCGCCAGGTCCCGCTGCAGACGGTGGTGCTCCTGCATTGCCATCGCCAGCGCTGACTCCCCGTCGGCCATCTGCAGGAAGTCGCCCAGAGGCCCCCACGACGTAGCATTGACCGTGGTCAATCGACATCCCTTCGCCACCGGAACACGCACCCTGGCGGCCACGAGCGCGCTCGCGGCCGTAGTAGCCGCCGCGCCTGGGGCCCGCCGACGGTCGGCACCGTCCTGCGGATGGGGGGGCGGAGCGAGCGGGGGGCTCGAGCTCCGTGCGGGGCGCTCTGGACAGCGCGCAGGGTACGCTTCCAGGCAAACAGGAGGCACGAACTCGCAGTCCCGCTGGTCGCTCACGGCGAGAAAGGCGCCGAACGAGTCCGACATGTGAGGGAGGGACTGCGACTTCGAGGGGCTGAATCCCTCCGCCCCTCCCCCTGGGCCGCACCCAGGGCCGACGCCCGTGGCTGCCTTTCGGAAGAACCCCCCCAGGCCAGCAGAATCTGCCATCCTGGGGCCGTACCCTTGATGGCCGAACACCCCGATCAGCCCGCCCGGGGCCTGGCCCTGAGGAGGCGCATCTCGAGGAACATCATGCAGGCCGCACCCTGAGGCCGCCACCTGTGGTTGCCAGTTAGGACGCCCCACCTTGCCAACCATATCTGACATCCTGGGTCCTCCGCCGTGATGGTCAGCATGCAGGCCGCACCCTGGGGCCGACACCTGGGGTTGCCAGTCAGGGGGCCCCACCTGCACAACCGAATCTGGCATCCCGGGGCCGTGCCCTTGATGGCCGAACACCCCGACCAGCCCACCCGGGGCCTGGCCCTGAGGAGGTGCGTCACCTGTGGTTGCCAGTCAGGACGCCCCACCTGGCCAACCATACCTGACACCCTGGGTCCGCTGTGATGGTCAGCATGCAGGCCGTACCCTGGGGCCGACACCTGAGGTTGCCAGTCAGGGGACCCCATCTCGACAACCTAAATTGACATCCTGGGGCCGTGCCCATGATGGCCGAGCACCCCCGTCGGCCCAGCCTGGGTCTGAAGGTCGCCCACCTTCCCAGGCAGCTGCCCAGCCCCAGCGCCGCCTCCGCCGAGCAGCGCCCCGTCGCCGAAGACCAGCTCGCTGCCGCCAGCTTGCATGGCGCCGTTCCCGAAGCCACTGGCGTCCATCTCGCTGGCCGCCAGCTCCTCCACCGCGTACAGCTCCTCGCTGTAGTAGGCGTCCTCATCCTCAGGAACCATCATCATGGCGTTGACGCTGCCCTCAGGCTGCCTTCCGCTGCCGCTTGGGCGGCAGCATCCTAGCATCGTCCCAGAATCGCTTGTAGGCCGCAGACACCACATCAGCAGCAAGGCGCTCAGCACCTTCGGGCGTGGGCGGCGCATGGCCCACCCGCTTGAGCATGTCGCGCTGCTCCTCCACCTCCAGCTCGACGCCGTCCGCGTCGTCGTCGCCAGCAGGGGTGCCCTCTCCAGGGACGGGCGCGCGCCCTGCAGCCGCAGGCGGCACGGCGCAGGGGGTGCCTGACGCAGCTGCGCCCTCGGCCTGGCCTGTCGCCTTAGCAGCTGTCTCCTCCGCCTCCGCAGCGCGGGTGACTCTGCGCTGCTGCTCAAGCTTGAGGACCTGCCACGTGGAAACTGCCCCGCAGGCGCCCCAGGAAACCAGCCGCGATCGAGACCCCGCCCACCACAACCATGCCATCCAGGTCGGCGCCAGGCCCGCCTGGAGGGGTGAGGGCCATGCCCACGACGCGCGCCTGCTCCGCCTTGAGCTCCGCGAGGTACTGATCGCGCTCAGCAGCGGCCCGGCGCAGGGCCTTCTCCCTGGCCTCCAGCTCCCGCTGCTGCTCCGCGATCGCCGCCAACTCCGCGCGCCCCCCTTCTCGACCTGCTTCTCCACCTTCTTGATTTGGTCGGAGATGCTCTTGGGCTGCGCGCTCTTGGGCTTGGAGCTGAAGATTGTCGCGCGCAGCTGCGCCTGCTCCTCCTCCAGTTTGGCCCTGGTGGCTTCCAGAGACTCACCTAGCTCGGCCTACCCGACGTCGAGCGAGTCCACCATGCCCTGGATGCTCCTGAGCTTCGCAGCGATGACGTCGAGGCGCCGCTTGTCCGCACTGCCCGCGCCGTCGCGCCAAGGGGGGGGCCGCGTCCGCAGACGCCTCTGCCCCTGCGGGCTGCTGCCTCTTGTCGACCATCTTGGCCGTGGGCATCTTGAGCTCCTCCACCGCCTTCGCGAGCTTGATGCTGTCCTTCGGCTTGAAAGACGGCGCCGCCTCCTCGGGCGAGCCAGCGATATGCGTGCCCTTCGAGCAGTTGCACTGCTTGCACGCCATGCGGCCCCCGAAATTGATAACTCGGTATCCACTGGCATTGGGCTTGCTTCATGCTTTGCAATTCCATGGCGCTTTCCCCGACGCACGTGCTGCATATCCAGAGCCCAAAGTGCGTGGTCCACGGCCACTCGCGCCGCTGCCACCCTTGTTGCTGCCAGCGCCGCCGCCGCCGCGCGCCCCGCCGCTTCCCCGCGGCGCCATTGCTGCCGCTCTCTGAGAGAGAGCGCCCCTAGCAAGGCAAGGAGTCAGAGGGCAATCCGCCGCGGCCGTCGCACCTTGGCCCAAAGCGCGAGCCCCCTCGCGCATGGAGGACGCCCGCGAAGGACTCGCGGTCGTCGGGCGACTCATGGCATTGAGCCAAAATATATACGGACCTCTCTCTCTCTCTCTCTCTCTCTCTCTCTCTCTCTCTCGCTCATCTCTCCCCCTCTCCCCTTTCATTTTCGCGTTGTTTTCTTCTCTCTCTCTCTCTCGTGTTTCTCTTTCTCTCTCTCTCTCTCTCTCTCTCTCTCTCTCTCTCTCTCTCTCTTTTCTCTCTCTCTCTCTCTCTCTCTCTCTCTCTCTCTCTCCCTCTCTCCCTATCTCTCTCTCTCTCTCTCTCTCTCTCTCTCTCTCTTTCCCTCTCTCTCTCTCGCACCCCACGGGGCGGCCACGGGTAGTCAGAGCCGCCCGCGGACGCCCGAACGCACACGCGAGGCCGCGCAGCCCTCACGGCTGCAGGCCTGGCACCAGGATGGCCCGCCCCGGCAGGCCGCAGGCGGCCACGCGCATGCGCGCGGCCGATCAGGCCCTGGGCCCCAGCGAGGCTGCGCCCAGGAGGTGGTCTAGCGCGAGGCGCCCAGCCAAAAGGCCCGCGGGGCTAGCAGGGATCCCGCCAGCAGCCCAAGGCCAGGCTCATCCGAGCGGCCGCCCAGTATATGGGTCCTTGCCGCCCAGCAATCGGCTCAGGTAGAGCCTCTTCTTCTTCTCTCCCGCCGTGGCCTGCGGCCCTGGGGGCAGGCTGCCGCCGCGCACCGCCTTCAGGCCCTTGGCGCGGTCCACGCCCTCCAGCTTCGAAAACGCACCGCACCTGCAGCAGAACGCGTAGGGCCCCGCGATGCGCACGCCGTGCCCGTGGTGCGCCTCGGGCAGCTGCACCCCCCCACGCGGAGTGCGGGGGCCTGCCGCTCGCGCAGGGCTCCTCGAGCGCTGGGCCGCACGGGCCCCCTTGTGCGGCCCCTGGGCACCTCCGCCGCACGCGTCAGGCTCGGTGGCCGCCGCGACCGCCGCCGCCACAGCGCAGGCCGCCGCCACAGGGAGGCCCTCCGCCCATCGCGCAGCCGCAGCCTCGCCTCCCCCGTCATCCAGCCTGGGGCCGCCGTCCCCCTCGGCGGCGGCTTCGCCTTGAACGCCCTGAGCCGCCCCTGCTGGCTGCTGCTGCAGCATCTGCCCCGCTGCGGCCGCAGGCGGGGGCGGAGGCAACCCCGATGGCGCCGCGTCGGGGTGCGGCAAGTCGTGCTCGCCGCCGCTGCCGCTGCCCGGGTCGCCAGGTCTCTGCCAGGTGCCTGGCCACAGCCGCCGCAAGGCCTCGATCCCTCGGCTGCGGATGCCCTGGGGCCGCGGCAGCCCAGCCTGGCGGGGTGGCTGCTCGCTGGTGCCAGAGGGGCCCAGTCCAGGCAGGGGCCCCGCGAAGCCAGGCAGCCCAGGCAGGTTGACCACTGCCTCTCCGATGACGTCCTCCATGGTGTGGCAGACCTCATCCAGCGTGGCCCACTGCATGGCGGCGAAGTGCAGCCACTCCTCCAGGGTCGCCATGTCCATCAGGTGCTCCACCGTGAAGCGCCGCACGTCGGCCTCCATGAGCCAGGCTTGCCTGACTATTGCCTGCACCCGCGCCCTCAGGCCTATGGAGCCTGCAAGCCTGGTAGCCTCTTCCCTCGTCTCCTCCCTGCCTGGCCTGGCGAGCCAGGTGAGGGCATACTACGCCGCCCAGGCAGTCCAGGTACTCTCCGCAGCCTCGGAGTCGCGCAGGTCGAACACCCAGCAGCTCGCGAAGGCCCTCAGCATGCAGCGCAGGGCCTCGAGGCCGAACACGGCGTCAGGCTCGGGGCTGCTGTTGCTCTCGGACTCGTTGTGTTCCAGAGGGTGGCTACGCCCTGGCGGAGAGCGGGGCCTGCTGGCCGTTCGTCCCGTGCTGCGCCTGCGCCGCTGGGCGGGGGCAGCTTGCGGCCCCTCTGGCCGCTGCGGTCCCTCCGCGGCGCTCCCTAGCCACGGTGGCGTCGGCTCCTGCGGCGCGGCTCGACCTCTCCCAGGGCCATGCTGCTGGCTGGGGCGCCCGCTCGGCGGGGACATCGAGTCCCCTCGCCTCTGGGGCGCGCCGCTCTGCCGACTCCTGTCACCTCCTCTGCTAAGAGCTCCTCCAACGGGCTCGAAGAAAGTGAAGTAGAGCGGCCCTCGCCGCCCCCCAGCACGCCGCGCGCTGCCACGGTCGCACAGGAAGGCCCGCGCCGCAGCGTGGTAGCAGCGCAGTCGTAGGAGCTTGATCTGCCTGTCTTCGCCCTCCAGTTGCAGCGCCTCGTCGATGTGGGGCTCCCTGAACGGCCCGCCGTCCCACCAGCCACGCTCGCAGAACTCCTCGGCCCGCCTCAGCCTCTCCGCATTGCGCGTCTCGGCGCAGTTGTGCATAAAGAAGCCTCGGTCGACTTCCTCGCCCAGCATCTTGTACACGTACTCGACGCGCTCCTCCATCCAGGACGCGTAGGCAAGGCTCTGGCCCATCAGATCAGCGACCCAGGAGCTGGCCAGCAAGCCCAGGGCGGCCTCTAAAGGCCCCGAGCGGTCCCACGCTTCGATGGCGCGGCGGTCGTTTCCCTCCCGCGGCCGCTCCAGGCCCACGCGCCGCCCAGTGCTGGCGAGCCCCCGTCCTGGGCCAGGGCGGGGCTCAGGCCGCCCTCCCCTCTGTGCCTGTGGCTGCCCCGCAGCTGCAGCGCCAGCGGTCCCTTCAGCAGGGGTGCCCTTGGCCGCCTCCAGCAGGTAGTTGACCTTCTGCTGCATCGTCCACTTCTGGCTCTGGCCCTGTGTAGCAGCGGCCGCTCCACTCATGGGCAGGAGCTCCTCCTCCTCCAGGCGCTCAGCCGCCTGCAGGCTTGCAGCAGCCGGGCTCGCCATAGGCCGACCCTGGCGGCAGCGGGCTCGCATCCTGCCCAGCTCCGTGGGCTGGCAAGGCTTGCAGTCCAGCAGCTCCCTTGCCTTGGCCGTGTAGGCCTCGCGCCCGCAGTGGACGCGCTGCACCCCGACTGAACTGGTGACCTGGTACTCGTGCCTCGTGAGGCTGAGCTTCGGGGCAGCTGGCTCCCTCCAGACCTGCCTGCGTTGGGGTTTGCCGTCCTCCCCGAGCGGCTTCCACAAATCCAGCTGGCAGATCCGCGCCGCCGCCCACCCCAGGCACGTGGCCGTGTCCAGGGCCCGCTTGAGCTCCGCGCGCAGCGCCTCCGCCGTGTTGTTCGGCAGTCTGGTGACCGCGGCGCCGAGGTTGGCGAAGAAGTCCGCCCAGCAGTTCCCAAGCCAGTCCAGTGGGCGCAAGCCCTCGTCCGGCGCTTGCTGGAGGGTGCGGTGGGCAGGCGCCCAACGGAACCTCGGCGGCGGCCCACCTCGCTTCGCCGCGGCCGCGTGAAGCTGTCTCCAGATGCTGACATGCCTCGCTCTGGCCGGCTGCGCCGACGGGGACCAGCCATTGCCCTCCGTGACCAGGGACTGCAGGTCGCTGACGATGACCTGAACGAGGCCAGCTTGCGCCAGCGGGGCCAGGCACGCGCGCCGCTCCGCCCTCCCCACGGTCTGGCGTGGCCCAGGCAGAGGCCCGTAGGCCGCCTTGAGGGGGATCCCGTCAGGCCTGAGGGCCACGGCTGCCCACCCACACCTGCGCGCCTCGGGGACTCTGGAGGCGTGCCCAGAGCCGTCCGTGTAGACCACCGACGGCCACTCCTCCTGCGTGGCGCCCCACTCGATGACCACGTTGTCCGACGGCGCGGGCGGCGGCAGCGCTGGCATCAGCGGCAAGCCGTACGCCAGCGTCAGCTCGCTGTCCCCGATGGTCCACTTCTGCTCGGCTTCCTCCAGCTGGTGCCTCATCGCCGCGATCGGCTTGCGGAGCGGCTCCTCGTGCTTCAGCTCGTCGCCCCGCGGCGCCACGAGGGCAGGGCAGGCGCACCACCTGTGCATCAGCGTGTCCTTGGCACCCCCGCACGCCCGGCACAGGTCGGAGGCAGTGTAGCCGCGGGCATGCCTCCAGGCGTTGGTGAAGTGCCCCCCCCAGCCCACGCCGCCTGGATGGCCCCCAGCTCCGCCGCTGGCCGAGCCCTGCACGCAATGGCACGGATGGCCCTGGGCCAGAGGGACTCGCCTTGGCCCTCTGGCAGGTGGGCCACCAGCCGCCTGCACTGCCAGCGCGGTATGCCCTCCACTAGCGCGTCCTTGATGCCCCGGGGGGCGACCCGCAGCATGGGCAGCGTCTCGCCCAGGTCGGACTGCAGGGCCCACGCTGCTGTCATAGTCCAGCCGATGCGGCCGAGCGTGAGCCACGTGGCCCCGAGCGGGCCATGCGCCGTGGCCCAGGTCAATGTGCCCGCTCGCATCGCCTCCGCCAGCTTACACCAGCTAGCGTTCAGGCTGGCCAGGGATCCTCGTCCCTCCCAGATGCGGCTGGCCAGGCGCATCACCAGCGGGATGGTGGCCGCATAGATGGGGTCGTAGTCCACCCTCCTCTGCAGCAGCATGACCGCAGCGGAGCCACAGCCCGCCTTGGCCCCTGCCGTGACCGCCGCCACCGTCCACAGCTGTGCAAGTGGCCGATCCGCCAGGCCCGCCACCCCAGCTCCATGTCCAGCCGAGGGGGACAGCCCCGTGGCGACCAGGGCAGTGGCACGCCTCCCCGCAGCCCGCCTGAGCATGGCCACTCGGCTGCGCCTGGCCGCGAGGGCCTGCAGACGGCGTTTCTCCTGCGTGCGGGGCACCTTCCGCCCGTGGAGCTCGTGCCCCAGGTTGCGCACCCAGAACTTCTCCGCGAGGCCCGCTCTCTGCATGGAGTGCGCCAGCAGTCGCGCCCTCCGCCTGGAGGACGCAAGGTAGCCTGACTTCTGCGGCTGCATGACCAGCCTGAGCTCCACCATGCTCGACGCGAAGCTCCTGGGAGCCTCCGCCAGGCTGTCGTCGGCCTCGCCCCGTGGGCCGCTCCAGTCCAGCGTGACGTCGTGCACCAGGCCGCGCGGCGTCACTGATGGCGCAATGGTGTGCGCCCGTTGCAGCGCACGGAGCGTGAGCACCAGCAGCAGCGAGTTAGCATGACCGCACCCTGCGATGTTGCCTTGCCAGGCCACGAAGAGGTCCGACGTAGTGTTGAACGCTGCCAGCGTTCGTGGCTGCCGATAGGAGCTCAGCAGCATCCACGCCAGTCTCATGGGGAATCCCAGTGCGCGGGCCTCCACCAGCTGCGCCTCGGGCGCCGCCATCTCGTAGGCCTTCCAGAGGTCGAGGGCCACCTGGGCGGAGTCCCAGCCACCGAGGCGCGACTGCTCCTTGGCCAGGTTCAGCTCGCACGCAGAGTCAGAGCTCGATCGCCCAGGGCCCGTGCCCCAGACCAGGGAAGAGGGGCGGGCGCCCTCTCATGCCTTGGTGATCGGCCTTCTCGCCCTGCTCCACACTCCCACCAGCGTCGGCATGAGGCCAATCAGCCTGCTGCCTCCGTCAGGCTTGGGCAACCTCACCATGGTGTTGATGAGGCGGCCGCTCGGCCTCGCTAGGAGTTCTTCGCACTTGTGGAAAACCGCTATCATGGCGTGCAGGGCGTCGTCGGAGAGGTCCTCCAGCGCCCTCGGCGGGATGCCCGACTGGCCCACTCCCGTGCGCCAGGGGAAGGAGCGTAGCACGTCGCGGATGTCGTGCAGCTGCCGTGGTGGCCGCGCGTCCCACAAGTGCGCGTCGCTCGGCAGCTCCATGCTGGTGAGGCCGTGGTAGTTCCAGATGTCGATCCACGGCTTCATCTCCCTGTCCACCAGGGCTGCCGAACCCTCCTCCTGTATCGCGGGCAGTACTTCCTGGAGCACTGGCACCTTGGATGCAGCGTGCGCTGCACCAGCGCCTCCCAGGAAGGCATCGTCCACCCATTCCTTCCAGCGGGCCTCGCCGGCCTGTACCATCTTCCTCTGCCTCTCTTTCGCCTCGGCCAGCGCGCGCTTCAGGCCCTGCTCGAAGCCGTCCTCTGTCCAGTTGGCGTCGGCGCGGAAAGGCAGTTGTGTCCGCGGCGGCAGGCTGCGCCAGTGCACGTGGTCCCTGATTTCCGAGGTGCGCCAGGGTGGCCGCAATCGACCTCATGCAGTTACCTCTCGCCGCCGCCGCCTGTCTGCCTTCTTCTTGCCCGTGGCTATCCAGAGCTTCCAGCAGCTTGACCTGGCGGTCCCGTTTGCTGAGGAGTTCGGACGCCCACCCAGCAAGCGCGGCCCAGGCATGGGCCTCTGGCCCCCGCAGCTTCCGCTTCAGGGGTGGTCTCCACTGAGCCACCTCCCACTTCAAGCCAGCAGCTGCCCCGCTCGTGCCACGCCCTGCGAAGGCACGGCGGGCGGGCCCCACGAGGTCCCGCCTGTTGAGGATCTCCGTCTCGACCCCTTCCCGCAGCAGGTCCCAAATGATCTGCAGGCCTTGGTCGTCGTGCGTGGCCTGGACACAGCGCGTCACCTCCTTCCAGCGCCACGGGCCGCGGGCGCAGCCAGGTTTGGCGGGCTCCCTGGGGACAGCCCTCGGCTCGTCCAGGACCTGATGCCACGCCTCCACCCGCACGGACCGCAGGGGCAGGTGGACGGGCCAGTGGGGCCACGTGCTGGCCCCCCTGTACAGCCGCGGGGGCGCCGCGGTGAAGCCCGCCAGGCTCTTGGACACCACGAAGTAGTCGATCTTGGAGCCGCTTCCTTGCCTGCATGTGGGGCGTCTGCGACTCGAACCTGCGCGCGTAGCTTACGGATCCGGCCAACGTCAAGGACGTCCGCCTCCATGTCCCAGTCGCCCATGGCCACCCAGTGATGGCCTTCTGCCTCCAGGGCGCCAAGGTACTGGGCCAGCTGCCAGACGATGCCCAAATTGTTCGCCGAGAGGCCCTCCCCAACGTGCAAGTAAACACTCAGCACCACCACTCCCCCTCGAGGTCCCGCTCGCACATGCCCAGCTACCAGACGACCAGGCACGATCACATGCGAGTCCCGCCCAGGGGGCCTTGTCAGCTGGATGCAAGCGGGGGCCAGCACAGCGACTCCGCCGACCGACCCCGTCGCCGAGGTAGTGGACGGTGTAGCAGCACTCCAGACTCCGTGCCACCCTGCATCCTAGGCTGCCCGCTACTGCGTCGCAAGGGCACCAGCCACGCAGTGATGCTCCTGCACGGCCAAAGCCAGGGTGGTCTGGCCATCCGCCTGGACGAGGTACTCGTTCAGCGGCCCCCGCGACGTCACATTGGCAGTGACTAGGCAGCAGCCGCCCTTGACCATGGGCGCGCGCTGGCCTCCACGGTCACACGGCGGGCCAGCACAACCTGGCGCCGAGCCTGGCTGGGCAAGGGCTCGCGGGAGGGCGGCACTGTCCCGCGGCTGTGGGGGCTGAGCGAGCGGGGGGCTCGAGCTCTGCGCGGGGCGCGCAGGGCAGACTGCAGGGCCCTCCGAGGCACGAATTCGGCGCCTGCAGCCTTCCTGGCCTGCAGGAATGTCGAACTCGTCGATCTCCAGTTCGCCCGCCTCCAACGAGCTGCCGATGACGTAGTCCATGCGGGGGAAGGCTGCGACTTCGAGGGGCTGCATCCCTCCCCCCCCCCTGGGCCGTACCCTGGGGCCGACGCCCGCGGTTGCCAGTCGGGCGCGCCCTC